CACTCAGAGTCGGTGACAGCAAGCTGCTGGCAATGGGCATAATAGTCGGAGGAGAGAAGGAGGCTTTCGTCAAGAACGCTACTCATATCGCAAGGCGCTGGAAATCTGCTAGGGAGGCTGACATCTTGTTGGCGAAGAGCGGAGTACCAGTCTTCTTTTGCAGCATGTTCAACGGTTTGAGGATGGACCTCAAGGTACTTGAGCATATCCCTCTGCTCCTCGAATCTCTCTGTGACAGTGACTCCCGCGGCTTGTAGGAGCTTCGTGAGGACAACGAGGACAAACACATGGTCTGTAGAGGGTGTTGACTCACCGTTGCAGAATCCGACTGAAAGAGGAGTTGCAGGCGCACCAAAAGGAGATCCAGGCTCTTAAGGAGAACATGGACGGGCTCAAGGAGAACATGGACGGGCTCAAGGAGACTGTGCAGACAGTCGAGCGCAAGATGGACGAAGGCTTCTCGGTGTGTGTTGGACTCTAGCGAGGCGAGAGGGAACTGACTGACTTGCGATGTAGGAGCACCAAAAGGAGATCCAGGCTCTTAAGGAGAACATGGACGGGCTCAAGGAGAACATGGACGGGCTCAAGGAGACTGTGGACGGGCTCAAGCAGACTGTGGACGGGCTCAAGCAGACTGTGCAGACAGTCGAGCGCAAGATGGACGAAGGGTTCTCGGTGTGTATCAGGGCCCTGAGAGGGGTGTCACTGTACTGAGAATAATTGCCGTGCACAGATGATCAATCGACTCCTGAGAGATGTTTCAAATCTCACCTCCTCGCGACCAATCTGAAGCTATTGTAGAACAATATTACTTAGTCAGCCTTTCTCTCAGTCTTCTGTGCATTTCTAGCTTTCTTTTGCATCTAAGAACATTTCTAATTTCCCATCACTGATGTCGTCTTCGCTCCGCTCATGGGGATGTCTGGTCGTTTCAATGCGTGTAGAGGAAGCGCAGGTCCTTGCAGCTCCCCGCTGCCTTGCAGCCTTTCCTCATGCCCACGGTGGATACAAGGCTGGACACCGTGATGATCAACCTCTTCCTCAGGCAGGATGTGGAGGGGAATATTTTCAGGCTATAAGTCTCAGTTTCCGATTTCGTAGCGGTTTAATTAAACACACAATAGTAGAAGCACACGAAGGTGGAAGAAGGGATATGCCATGGCATTGCTTCTTACGGGGCCTCTTATGAGGGACGTGGGGCTCAGCGTCGCCACATGTTTGTTTCGTGACAACTTACTGTCCGGTCAGTGAGGACACAGACGACTGGATAGCCCTCTGACCAGGGCTTCCTCGACTGCCAGCGCCTCCTTGATCTCAAGGATACACTGGTTGCGCTGGATCTTGGCGGTGAGAGTCTCCACGGTCTCCGGTTTCTCCGGGGCCTTCCTCTTCCCAACAACCGGCTTCGATCCGTTGGTGCGCTCGGTCTGAAGGCTCGTTAGTTGTTCTTGCAAGGTCGCCAGTCTCTGTTGAGCCTTGGCGATCTCACTCTGCTTGGCTTCGATCTTCTCATCAATGGACTTGGCCGCTGTCGGCGTGCGCGTCTTGCCCTCGATCTTGTTCTTTCGCATTTCGGCGAATCCGTCTATCGATCCCTGCAGAGCTTTTGTGTCCATTTTCGTAACGGCTGTGAGGCGCTTGGCCGCGTTGCCAGTAATGGTACCATCGGGTGCAACGTCACCAGGATTGGTGACGCGTGCTGCCGCGATGATCACGGGGTGGTAGAAGAACGCGGCAATGCGCTCCCTCTCCTTGAGCTCTGCATCAGTCGGTGCGGACTTGCCCTCGTCGTTGGACTTCTTGACCTTTTTTCACCGCCGCGGAAGGGGGGGCCAGCACCCAGTTCGGGGTCTACAGCGGGTTCGACGACACTCCCTTCTGTTCGCACAAGTGGGTCTTCTGCACGGAGACGAGCCGCAACCTGACGACGGGCGCCTACAACCGCCAGTGCTTCGGGACGGTGAGCAAGGCCAACTGGACCGACCCCCTGACGCGCTTCGACTCCTGCAAGAGCGCCATCCTCAACGACGCCCCGAGCAGCTCCACCATGATCCCCATCCGCATCTGCACGCTCGACTCGACGATGAACGAGCTCTGCATCAAGGTCGCGGACTTCCTCCAGCGGATCCAGGCCGCCAAAAGGCTGCAAGGCGGCGGGGAGCTGCAAGGACCTGCGCTTCCTCTACACGCATTGAAACGACCAGACATCCCCATGAGCGGAGCGAAGACGACATCAGTGATGGGAAATTAGAAATGTTCTTAGATGCAAAAGAAAGCTAGAAATGCACAGAAGACTGAGAGAAAGGCTGACTAAGTAATATTGTTCTACAATAGCTTCAGATTGGTCGCGAGGAGGTGAGATTTGAAACATCTCTCAGGAGTCGATTGATCATCTGTGCACGGCAATTATTCTCAGTACAGTGACACCCCTCTCAGGGCCCTGATACACACCGAGAACCCTTCGTCCATCTTGCGCTCGACTGTCTGCACAGTCTGCTTGAGCCCGTCCACAGTCTGCTTGAGCCCGTCCATGTTCTCCTTGAGCCCGTCCATGTTCTCCTTAAGAGCCTGGATTTCCTTTTGGTGCTCCTACATCGCAAGTCAGTCAGTTCCCTCTCGCCTCGCTAGAGTCCAACACACACCGAGAACCCTTCGTCCATCTTGCGCTCGACTGTCTGCACAGTCTGCTTGAGCCCGTCCATGTTCTCCTTAAGAGCCTGGATCTCCTTTTGGTGCGCCTGCAACTCCTCTTTCAGTCGGATTCTGCAACGGTGAGTCAACACCCTCTACAGACCATGTGTTTGTCCTCGTTGTCCTCACGAAGCTCCTACAAGCCGCGGGAGTCACTGTCACAGAGAGATTCGAGGAGCAGAGGGATATGCTCAAGTACCTTGAGGTCCATCCTCAAACCGTTGAACATGCTGTGGACGCTTTGAGGCGCAGCGTAACAAAAGAAGACTGGTACTCCGCTCTTCGCCAACAAGATGTCAGCCTCCCTAGCAGATTTCCAGCGCCTTGCGATATGAGTAGCGTTCTTGACGAAAGCCTCCTTCTCTCCTCCGACTATTATGCCCATTGCCAGCAGCTTGCTGTCACCGCACTCTGAGCCTTGTGTTGACCACACTTGGTCTTTGAGTGCCAAACCTACCTCAAGCTGCCACAGCTTTCGTACCATACAAGACGGTTCTTCTGTGATCTCGAAATGGATGAGAGCGTTCTCGGAGAGCAAGAGACCTTCGAGCTCGTCTCTGGCGTCAGCGACCTTGTCGTCGTCGTATGAATGTAGCGCTATGACCTGGGGGACTCCGTCGTCGGCATCTTCCGAGTCTACCAAGCTTCTCAGCACATCTCTCAAAGAAACTCTCGAGGAGTTGGAGGAGTTGGATCGAGCTCGAAAGTAAAGGTCGAACTTGAGCTTGAACTTTCCCTTGAAGGTGCAGCTTTCTTCTGGTATACCTTCAAGGCTTCCTGAACTTCCCATCACTAGCGTGGAGTTGATCGCGCGTCGATACTCTGCTCTGTTGATATGATCGAGGTGCTGAGGATTCTTCAAGTTGAGAAACATCAACATCTCGACTATGATAGCAGGCAGGTTTGCATACACCTGACTTTCAAACCAGTTGCTGGACGTTTTTCTGTTCAGCTTCCGAATGCTCTTCTCCTGTTTTCTCGATTTATCCGCTGCAGATCTCGCCATTTCTACAAAGTAGAACAATAGGGCCGGGACTCGGAGACTCTTGGTAGGATTGTCGACAACAGCAAGGTCCGAGAGGAGGGTTTCCGGTCAGTGAGTGCGCCTCAGATCATGAGCGAGCCTAGCCGGCCGGCAGAAATTTTCTCGGTAGGCTCGACGCGTTCGATCTCATCGGCAGCAGAGACAGCAAGCTTTAACGGCTAGTTGATTGCAGCACTGATGGGGGCAGCAGACGTAACGGCTCAGTCAGTCACGGCCTCGGAGGGGTCTCCATGAGGGGCAGCAGCTGTGAAGAAGCTACGGCCTAGAGAGAAGCCATAGGGGCAGCACTGCGGCAGACTTAACGGCTTGTTGAGGGTTGATTTCTGAAGCCTTTTAAATCCGGGGTCCGGATTTTCCAAGCTTGGTTATCAAACAGGTGAGATAATGATGTTCAGGATTACACTCTAACTGACAAATTGATGGTGCTGGTTTGTAACTAGGGCAAGGGCACAAGCAACTTTAAAGAGCAAGCGCACAATTCTTGTTGGAGTGATTGCAAAAACCTAAGCCTGATATATATTAAGTTTTTTTTGTGCTGTTTCTACTATATCTCTTAATGTGTCACCATCTCCTGAATGCCATATTTTGAACTACTTCCATTAAGCTATTTATACTATTTATGTGGTAGACTTGAACGCTCACATAACTGCCGTCTTCTCTCCTGAAATGGATCTTCTAAATATCATCAGGTTCATCATAAGCCATCTTCAGAATATCTACATTGCTATTGTATATCGTTGTATAGTTCCTATTAGGATTAGTTTCCAGGAGCACATTGGGAATTATAGATGCTAAGTTTTAGAAACATGATTCGAGCCTTTAATTCAAGTCAAATTTCTACGTGATTCAGCGAAGAACATTGAGTTGTGGCGCAGATGATGAAGCACTTGGGAACGTTTGTTAGGGTTTGAGGCGTGTAGAGATGTCAGATTTGCGCTATTGGTCAGTCAATGTGATGCTTGAAGAGCATTGGAGACAGTCCTTCAAGACTTCGATCCTGGAAGCACTGCATTATCTCTCTTCCTCCGGGATTTCTGCAAACAAACTCGTCGAGGTCATGCTGAAGTCGCTCAACGTCCCAGAGGATGAAATCAAGGAGCTTGACAGCGCAGTACTCGTAAACCGGGTAAAATAGATGAAAGGTCCGTCCGGTCACAGAAGAACCTTGGCTGCCCTTTAGGGAATGAAATGGGTTAGAAAGCCTCCTGGAATTTCGAGTTATCATCAGCAAGCAAGGGAAGCTGGTCAAACCTGCAATAGCACATGAAACGAGATAAGAACTCCTGTTGTGTTGTCATTGTTGCTGGACTTAACTGCCCGGGAAATCGCGAGTTTCAGAGCATCCTTGAGATTGTTGTTGTTCCTTTGCAGGTGTGTCCTGAGGCACGTGACTCACTGATCACTGCCTCTGCGCAGTCTTTGAAACCAAACTGTTTGAAGTTTCACATTTCACAAACTTGACTCTGCAGCAAACCATAAGGGACTCCAGAAGGGAGGGAAGGAAGAAGTCGGAGGGAGGAGTAGTGGGAGGAGTAGTGGGAGGGAGAGATGGAGAACAACGTAGAAGAAGGGAAGAGAAGGGAGGGAGAGAGAGAGGTCTTCCTGATACTTCGGGGTTTACATTACTTCTCTCATCGCAAGCTATAGAGGTTTGAGGACTGACATGCTTCGAGGCCAAGGCCAAGATCAAAGGGCTCTCAGCTGAGCCAGAAATCTTCCAGACCAGTATCACGGATCAGCACGAGCTCCTACTTCTGGCCTCAGATGGATTTTGGTCGGAGAAGAACGGTCAGGGCTAACATGCATGTTGCTGTTTACCGCCTGCACTTGCTGGCTGGTTATATCTCGATCATCGCATCTCGGGGAAGTAGAGGAGGTTCCAAAATAGTCTCGCCTTGTGTGCCTGCGCGGCTGTTGCTCCTTGACACCTGAAATGGGATGAGCGAACACAGTGAACATGCAGGCAAGAGACTACAAGTGCAGATGAGAGGTGGCGCCATGAGGATAAGGAGAATTCAAATCGCAATCAAGACGGATGTTACTCACTGTTATCCGCTGTCCGTAAAGATAGACATCGTTCACCACCTACCCGGTCAGACCATCATGATCAACAAATCATCCTACTTGCGCAAGAAAGGGATCTCCCCGAACCCCTTCGATCCCAACAACCAGCAAGACAGGCAGTACAGTGAGTGGCGATGGCATCTGTGACACGATTAGCTCGCGTACTCGAGATCCTTGCCCTCCCACCAACCTTGAGCATCCACACGAACCTGGTGATGCCCAAAGGCTGCAAGCTAATCCATCGCCACTCACTGGTAGTAGTATCCGCCGAAGCAGAGGCATTCGGAGATCGAGGATGCTTGGAACAAGGATGTGGAGTTGTTTGGGCAAGCATAGAACAGATTGTCCCCAGGGCAGAAGTATCCGTAGGGGCAGGGAATGCATGTGCTGCCCGATCTGTAGAATCCCTGGTTGCAGACGCAAGACTCTACTACGTTCTGCCCGTAGTAGTTCATCGAGTTGTCGGGACATGCAAAGATCTCCTCTCCAGAGCAATAGGAGCCCCTGGGGCAAAGAGTGCAGTTCTTGGGTGTGATGGGACTGTTTGCCCAGTAGTAGCCCTCGTAGCAACGGCATTGCGATGTCTCTGTGTCGGTGAAGGTCCTGATGGCATATGAGTTGGGAGGGCAGGATCCACTGGTGTAGTAGCAGTCCTGGGTCTCGCCGCAGGGGTCGCAGAACTTCGATTCGCAGTATGTTCCGGTGCCCTGCCAAAACTCGTTGCAGGTGCAGGTGAAGCTACCGAGCGTGTTGTTGCACCGGGCATTGATATCACAGTCGTTCAGGTAGCTATTGCACTCATTGATGTCCTCACATAGTCCTTGACCATTCTTAACGAAGCCGTCGGAGCAGATGCAGAGGAAGGAGCCAATGGTATCGATGCAGACACTGTAATCATCACAAGCGGACCTTTCACACTCATTGACGTTGACACACAGGTTGTTGCTATCGAACTCGAAACCTGTGTCGCAGGTACAGAAGAAGCTCCCCACTGTGTCGGTGCAGAATGAGTTGTCAGGGCAGAACCTCGCTTGGAAGCACTCGTTGACGTTGGTGCAAGTTGTGAGGTCGACGGATGCATGGCCGGGCCTGCACTCGCAGTATTTTCTCAATGTAATTCAATACGATGAACCTCTCTCTCCCTATCTTGGCTGTGCAAAATTCAAGAACGACATCAACTTCTGGCGAGGGCTTCAGTCTACCAAAGGAATCTCCGTTCGCTCCATCGGTACTTCTCCCTTCCTTCCACCACGCAGCCGATAACGCTCGCCGTCAGCTGTCTCCTCCATCATGGAACTTGTCGTGTTTCTGTACCTCCTTGACAACGACACGTCTTACCTCGTTCTCTTCACGGTTGGCGGCGGGCTGCTCGTCAACGTCTGGAAGGTTCCCCGTCCTCAACCTCGGCAGCCTCCCGTGCTCTGACTCGCTGCAGCTCATCAAGGCATGGTCTCTCATGCGAGGCCGAGGAAGCGACAAGGAGGCGGAGGACTTGCGAGCAGAGCAGGTGAAGCAGCAAGGAGACGGGGCATGCTCGTCCTGACTCCCTGCACAGGCGATCTCACGCCATATCGACTACATCGCATCCGCCTACCTCCTCAACATCCTCGGCCCGCCCATCGTCGGATACGCTGTCTACAGTCTGGTGTATGAGGACCAGAGGGGCTGGTACAGCTGGGCGCTCCAGAGCGGGGTGAACGTTGTGTATGCTGTAGGTAGGGGGCTGCTGCCTCCTGTTCTTAGACGCCTGAGATTCAATGCAGGCTTCATGATGATGACGCCGCAGCTCTTCCTCAACTACAAGTACAAGAGTGTCGAACACCTTCCTTGGAGAGCGCTCATATATCGTGCTCTGAATACTTTCATTGACGACCTGTTCGCATTCGTCATCACCATGCCAGGGCTTCACAGGTACGATCCCTCTCTTGCGCTATCTTTCTTCGTTTTCACAGTGATGTCAGGATGTCTGTCTTTCGAGACGACATTGTCTTCTTCATCTACCTCTATCAGCGTTGGATCTACCGCAAGCGAAGGCCTGCCTCGGAGACCTCCATGCACGAGCTCTAGACTCTGGGACGGCCCTAATTCGGATCATCATAGCTGTGAAGTTCTTGATGCATTGCGATATGAGTAGCGTTCTTGACGAAAGCCTCCTTCTCTCCTACCGCACTCTGAGCCTTGTCTTGACCGCACTGTCTGGTCTTTGAGTGCCAAACCTACCTCAAGCTGCCAGATGAACCCATCAGTAGCAAGCTGACGACGAGCCGCGCTTCCCGAGGCCCTCAAGGTAGCGAAGCCCGACTGAGATGAATACTGACACTGCCATGATGATATCACTGCTCTTTGACAAGCTGCAAATGTGTGTATCATGGCTGTTTTTGGCTCTTTCTACTCGACCTCAGATCAGACATCTACTCTCTGACAGTGATATCAGTCACGTCGCATCCTTGAAACCTCTACAGCGCCTCGCCTGTCTCAGTTGTCATCGCTGACAGGCTTGCTCCATCACTGAGGCGCACTCACTGGCTGGGGTCTCAAACCCACTGCCAGGCAGATGCATCAAGCTTGAAGATTCCTCAAGTCTGTTGTCGACAATCCTACCAAGAGTCTCCGAGTCCCGGCCCTATTGTTCTACTTTGTAGTAATGGCGAGATCTGCAGCGGATAAATCGAGAAAACAGGAGAAGAGCATTCTGAAGCTGAACAGAAAAACGTCCAGCAACTGGTTTGAAAGTCAGGTGTATGCAAACCTGCCTGCTATCATAGTCGAGATGTTGATGTTTCTCAACTTGAAGAATCCTCAGCACCTCGATCATATCAACAGAGCAGAGTATCGACGCGCGATCAACTCCACGCTAGTGATGGGAAGTTCAGGAAGCCTTGAAGGTATACCAGAAGAAAGCTGCACCTTCAAGGGAAAGTTCAAGCTCAAGTTCGACCTTTACTTTCGAGCTCGATCCAACTCCTCCAACTCCTCGAGAGTTTCTTTGAGAGATGTGCTGAGAAGCTTGGTAGACTCGGAAGATGCCGACGACGGAGTCCCCCAGGTCATAGCGCTACATTCATACGACGACGACAAGGTCGCTGACGCCAGAGACGAGCTCGAAGGTCTCTTGCTCTCCGAGAACGCTCTCATCCATTTCGAGATCACAGAAGAACCGTCTTGTATGGTACGAAAGCTGTGGCAGCTTGAGGTAGGTTTGGCACTCAAAGACCAAGTGTGGTCAACACAAGGCTCAGAGTGCGGTGACAGCAAGCTGCTGGCAATGGGCATAATAGTCGGAGGAGAGAAGGAGGCTTTCGTCAAGAACGCTACTCATATCGCAAGGCGCTGGAAATCTGCTAGGGAGGCTGACATCTTGTTGGCGAAGAGCGGAGTACCAGTCTTCTTTTGCAGCATGTTCAACGGTTTGAGGATGGACCTCAAGGTACTTGAGCATATCCCTCTGCTCCTCGAATCTCTCTGTGACAGTGACTCCCGCGGCTTGTAGGAGCTTCGTGAGGACAACGAGGACAAACACATGGTCTGTAGAGGGTGTTGACTCACCGTTGCAGAATCCGACTGAAAGAGGAGTTGCAGGCGCACCAAAAGGAGATCCAGGCTCTTAAGGAGAACATGGACGGGCTCAAGGAGAACATGGACGGGCTCAAGGAGACTGTGCAGACAGTCGAGCGCAAGATGGACGAAGGGTTCTCGGTGTGTGTTGGACTCTAGCGAGGCGAGAGGGAACTGACTGACTTGCGATGTAGGAGCACCAAAAGGAGATCCAGGCTCTTAAGGAGAACATGGACGGGCTCAAGGAGAACATGGACGGGCTCAAGGAGACTGTGCAGACAGTCGAGCGCAAGATGGACGAAGGGTTCTCGGTGTGTGTTGGACTCTAGCGAGGCGAGAGGGAACTGACTGACTTGCGATGTAGGAGCACCAAAAGGAGATCCAGGCTCTTAAGGAGAACATGGACGGGCTCAAGGAGAACATGGACGGGCTCAAGCAGACTGTGGACGGGCTCAAGCAGACTGTGCAGACAGTCGAGCGCAAGATGGACGAAGGGTTCTCGGTGTGTATCAGGGCCCTGAGAGGGGTGTCACTGTACTGAGAATAATTGCCGTGCACAGATGATCAATCGACTCCTGAGAGATGTTTCAAATCTCACCTCCTCGCGACCAATCTGAAGCTATTGTAGAACAAAATTACTTAGTCAGCCTTTCTCTCAGTCTTCTGTGCATTTCTAGCTTTCTTTTGCATCTAAGAACATTTCTAATTTCCCATCACTGATGTCGTCTTCGCTCCGCTCATGGGGATGTCTGGTCGTTTCAATGCGTGTAGAGGAAGCGCAGGTCCTTGCAGCTCCCCGCTGCCTTGCAGCCTTTTGGCGGCCTGATTCCGCTGGAGGAAGTCCGCGACCTTGATGCAGAGCTCGTTCATCGTCGAGTCGAGCGTGCAGATGCGGATGGGGATCATGGTGGAGCTGCTCGGGGCGTCGTTGAGGATGGCGCTCTTGCAGGAGTCGAAGCGCGTCAGGGGGTCGGTCCAGTTGGCCTTGCTCACCGTCCCGAAGCACTGGCGGTTGTAGGCGCCCGTCGTCAGGTTGCGGCTCGTCTCCGTGCAGAAGACCCACTTGTCGAACAGAAGGGAGTGTCGTCGAACCCCGCTGTAGACCCCGAACTGGGTGCTGGCCCCCCCTTCCGCGGCGGTGAAAAAAGGTCCAAGGAAGTCCAACGACGAGGGCAAGTCCGCACCGACTGATGCAGAGCTCAAGGAGAGGGAGCGCATTGCCGCGTTCTTCTACCACCCCGTGATCATCGCGGCAGCACGCGTCACCAATCCTGGTGACGTTGCACCCGATGGTACCATTACTGGCAACGCGGCCAAGCGCCTCACAGCCGTTACGAAAATGGACACAAAAGCTCTGCAGGGATCGATAGACGGATTCGCCGAAATGCGAAAGAACAAGATCGAGGGCAAGACGCGCACGCCGACAGCGGCCAAGTCCATTGATGAGAAGATCGAAGCCAAGCAGAGTGAGATCGCCAAGGCTCAACAGAGACTGGCGACCTTGCAAGAACAACTAACGAGCCTTCAGACCGAGCGCACCAACGGATCGAAGCCGCTTGTTGGGAAGAGGAAGGCCCCGGAGAAACCGGAGACCGTGGAGACTCTCACCGCCAAGATCCAGCGCAACCAGTGTATCCTTGAGATCAAGGAGGCGCTGGCAGTCGAGGAAGCCCTGGTCAGAGGGCTATCCAGTCGTCTGTGTCCTCACTGACCGGACAGTAAGTTGTCACGAAACAAACATGTGGCGACGCTGAGCCCCACGTCCCTCATAAGAGGCCCCGTAAGAAGCAATGCCATGGCATATCCCTTCTTCAACCTTCGTGTGCTTCCACTATTGTGTGTTTAATTAAACCGCTACGAAATCGGAAACTGAGACTTATAGCCTGAAAATATTCCCCTCCACATCCTGCCTGAGGAAGAGGTTGATCATCACGGTGTCCAGCCTTGTATCCACCGTGGGCATGAGGAAAGGCTGCAAGGCAGCGGGGAGCTGCAAGGACCTGCGCTTCCTCTACACGCATTGAAACGACCAGACATCCCCATGAGCGGAGCGAAGACGACATCAGTGATGGGAAATTAGAAATGTTCTTAGATGCAAAAGAAAGCTAGAAATGCACAGAAGACTGAGAGAAAGGCTGACTAAGTAATATTGTTCTACAATAGCTTCAGATTGGTCGCGAGGAGGTGAGATTTGAAACATCTCTCAGGAGTCGATTGATCATCTGTGCACGGCAATTATTCTCAGTACAGTGACACCCCTCTCAGGGCCCTGATACACACCGAGAACCCTTCGTCCATCTTGCGCTCGACTGTCTGCACAGTCTGCTTGAGCCCGTCCACAGTCTGCTTGAGCCCGTCCATGTTCTCCTTGAGCCCGTCCATGTTCTCCTTAAGAGCCTGCATGTTCTCCTTAAGAGCCTGGATCTCCTTTTGGTGCTCCTACATCGCAAGTCAGTCAGTTCCCTCTCGCCTCGCTAGAGTCCAACACACACCGAGAACCCTTCGTCCATCTTGCGCTCGACTGTCTGCACAGTCTCCTTGAGCCCGTCCATGTTCTCCTTGAGCCCGTCCATGTTCTCCTTAAGAGCCTGGATCTCCTTTTGGTGCGCCTGCAACTCCTCTTTCAGTCGGATTCTGCAACGGTGAGTCAACACCCTCTACAGACCATGTGTTTGTCCTCGTTGTCCTCACGAAGCTCCTACAAGCCGCGGGAGTCACTGTCACAGAGAGATTCGAGGAGCAGAGGGATATGCTCAAGTACCTTGAGGTCCATCCTCAAACCGTTGAACATGCTGCAAAAGAAGACTGGTACTCCGCTCTTCGCCAACAAGATGTCAGCCTCCCTAGCAGATTTCCAGCGCCTTGCGATATGAGTAGCGTTCTTGACGAAAGCCTCCTTCTCTCCTCCGACTATTATGCCCATTGCAAGCAGCGATGGCATCGCTGAGACGGGTGGAGCCTACCGAGCAAATCTGTCATGGTTGCTCCATGATCTGAGGCCCGCCGCACTCACTGGCTGGGGTCTCAAACCCACTGCCAGGCAGATGCATCAAGCTTGAAGATTCCTCAAGTCTAGAATTAGTCTCAGAACCCTCCTCTCGGACCTTGCTGAGTCACGGTTGTCGACAATCCTACCAAGAGTCTCCGAGTCCCGGCCCTATTGTTCTACTTTATAGTAATGGCGAGATCTGCAGCGAATAAATCGAGAAAACAGGAGAAGAGCATTCGGAAGCTGAACAGAAAAACTTCCAGCGTTGAACTGGCAGTTGAAAGTCAGGTGTATCATATGCAAACCTGCCTGCTATCATAGTCGAGATGTTGATGTTTCTCAACATGAAGAATCCTCAGCACCTCGATCATATCAACAGAGCACTGCGGCAGCCGCGCGCATCGACGCGCGATGAACTCCACGCTAGTGATGGAAGTTCAGGAAGCTTTGAAGGTATACCAGAAGAAAGCTGCACTCGCCCTCTTCCGAGTTCCCCCTGCACCTGCATCGCTGTCGGTGGTGAGCGCATCAGTGAGCGCATCCTACAACGCTGCGGGCTTACTGGCGGGCTTACTCAAAGTGAAGTAAAGCCCGGGCCCGGGCCCCGGGCTGGGCCCCGGGCCAGCAGTATGGCCCGGCCGCATTCTGGCAGGGTCGCCGGGCGCAGACTTTTACACGAATTCGATTAAACAGTTTTAGTCAATATATCTATCAGTACTGATGCCCCTTCATGCAGGGTGTTAATTCGAACAAATCTATTTTAGATCAATTTATATCAAGTTTTAGGTATTTTTGTCATCTTTTCTACAGTGTCCAGTGACTCTTGGGGTCCAGAAGGTTTTTCGTTCCCCCTGCCCCACTTGGTTTTACCTTGCTCCACCTCAAGCCGGTTCCCTCCTGTCACTTCCGAACCAACTTAACATACAGTCGCAAGGCTTGATCTTACCTGCTGCTCCTCTCCTTCTCCTCCCTCTCCCTTTATTCATTCCTCTTTGGTTCTTAAGATAGACATGTCTGCAAGCTCACAGTCAACACACTCAGAAAATGGAAACTCTAAAAAAGAGTCACCAGTGCCCCAATTGGAGAAACCCAAACACAGAAAAATGGCAAAAGGTCTTCGGAGTAATTTCTTGGACTATCTTGAAAAGCAAATCTCAGAGAAAGAACGATTACTTGAGCTTAACCTGAAGAAACAAAGGGCTGCAGAGAACGACACTGATCTCCAGGTGACTTGAACGTAATTGACCCCTTGTCTTGACTTGTGCTCGTAGGATAGCATTCAACGTCAAAACCAAAAGTTTCGAGACGATCTTGACATGTTGCAGAAACTCCTATCAGAGCAACGAGAAGCTTTGATCCATGAAACGGTTGAGGCCATGGAAGCTAGGAAGGCAGCAGAACAAAGCATGAAGGCTGAAGCAGAACCGCATGTCTCTGACTCTCAATCGATTCCTGTTCATCATCGTAACAGAATGTATCGGCAACTTCCTGCCTGCCACGTCAACTCTCCGACATTGACTGTTGCTCGATCTCGAGCCGACCCAGCTCCAACGGTGGTTTCTAGAGTGGCAAGCGCGTATTGTTCAAGATTCACAGCTGGCGTTGCCAACCCGATTTTGAGGCCTCTGGACAGTTGGCTAGGAAGACTCTCTAGCTTCTTCTATGGGAGACCTAGTGCACGGACTGAAGGTGAGAGGGCGCTGTCTTTGTTTTACATTGCCTCGTGACACGGCTCCGTGGCTGCAGCACGATACCCAGAGCGACGAGGAAACGGATATCCTTTCTTCTGCTGTGGCAATCCGGCAGACAGAGACTCTGGTACCTCCTCCTCAACTTTGAGCATTGTTTCTGAATAGGCTCTGCATAGAGTCGATTCCGGAGAGAGTCACCGTGGACAACCGCGATTATTACGTCCACAGGTTATCACTTGAACTAGGGTCCTGGCCTTGGCTCATTTGAATTTGCAGAGCCTTGAACATTCCCAAGAGAGACGATGAAGCTCATGATTATGTGCTAGTTTAACAGCGAGTAGCGTTGATCGGATCGGATCGCGGTGATCGGACACCAGGTCCTAGCTCGACTGAGCCTAGTAGTCGCCAATAGTACTTGCCACTCGAAAGTCGATCTTCCGAGGAAGAACAGGTTGAATAAAGTTACATGGCGGTCACCCAGAGGGTCTCAGACTTTCATCACAGACAAGGGCAGTCACGCTGCCCGGGAGATCATCCCGATTCTGTCCGGCAGTAAAGTGCAACCACTGAGGAGTGCACTGAGAACCGTCGCAGGAACCGTCGGTGCGATGATGGTCCGAGGAGGGATGTGGTCATACGTATGAAGCTGACGTGGTTGCGACCCTCGTCCTTGACCCCTACCCACCATATTTACCATGAAAGTACCCCTTATCTCTGGTTTCCTCCTACTGAACAGAGAAAGGTGTCTAAAATTAGAAACTTTGTGGAGAAAACCAGCCAAACGTCATAGCTCCGTGTTTTAAATACATTTTAGACGTCAGCGTCGACAGCAGTTCCAATCGTAGTTGGCTCACATTTAGAGCCCCTTGAAGATCTTCGTCTATATTATCTCCCGAACAATAACAGTAAAGGCCCTTGATGACAAGCCAACAAAGTTCCAAAGGGAGACCATCCCCCACTGCCCGTCGTTCCTGGTTTGCCCCCCCCCCCCCCCCCCTTCCCCTTATCGTTTCAAACTTCACGACAGCGTCTCCTCCCTCCCTTCTGCTCCTTGCATCCCTCCTGCCTTCCTGCCATACTCTCCTCACTTCCTTCCTCACATACCTCTTGCTACACTTGCTAGTCGGACCTGCTGGTCCTTGTGAACAATCAAAATTCTCTCGAAAATGTTTGGCATCGTCCGTCAGTATGTGGACGCAAAGAACAAGAGCTGGATTCTTCCTTCCAGCAAGGCTGGCGAGGCAATGAGCACACTCTCCGCCATCTCTCTTGGATCATCATGGGAGACCAAGGAAGTCGAGAACCTTGTTGCTTTCGTGGACGAGTCCAGCCCGACTCGTCAAGTCATGAACCGCCGGCCACTTACCAAGAGGCCCCACAAAGTTCTCTAGTGCATCATGATCACTGTTGATTGATACGTTACCTTCCCTGCGTTGTAAATGACTGATCCCGTAGACTATGACACTCAATCTGGTTGTATATAAAACTCGTTCGTGATATCACAGCTCCCCGACAAACACTCTTCATTGGACAAAATCTGATTAGCAAAAACTTAATTCTTCCTTGCAGTGATGAAGTCGGCAAGGGCCATGAGGGGAGCCGCCTTGTCACCCCAACTGTGAGCAGTCAGACAAGAGCAAGACAGTCGACTGCGCCTTACGGTTTGAGCTGGTCCTTGGCCTCAGCGATAAGAGCCTCTGCCCTCTCCTTGCTCTTCTCCAGCCCCATGAGCTGTTTGCACCATGATCAGCTCACTCATTCTACACCCTCTCTCTCTCCTCCTCCTCTTGATGCTGCTCTTGCTCCGTCCAACCCCCCCCCCCCATCTCCGCTGCCCCTCCTCCTTCTGAACCTTAGGGTAGGTAGCCTTGTCCACCAGCAGATCCTTCCCTGCAGTCTGCAACCATTCCGTCACATACGAAGCGATAGACCACTTTCGACCGCGTACCTTGCCGAGAGTTGCAGAGTCTTGAGTGACATCGAGAATATCGTCGATGATCTGCAAGTGATATCAGAGTTTGGTTGGCGGACAGGAAAAGGGAGCTAGGAGATTAGCAGAGCTGCAAAGCGAGCACACCTGGAAGCTGAGACCGATGTTCATTGCGAACTTGGAGAGCCTTTGGATCTGAAACAAGATCAGCCTGAGAATTGTCAATCCTGTATCTCACCTGCTCCTCGTTGGCGCCACCAAGAATGCCTCCGCCAACGACGCAGAACTATCGTGGGGAGGAGGTCAGAGAAAGGTAGCCAAGGAGGAGGTAGAATCACCTCAAGGAGAGCAGCTGTCTTGTGCTCATGAATCCACTGCAATGTCTCGATGGTGACGTCCTTCTTGCCTTCCGACTGGATGTCCACCACCTGCACCTCTCTCAGTTGCCCTCCATCTCCCCTTCCACTTCCTCCTACCTGACCGCCCACAAGACCGAGGGCGCCCACACACTTGCCACATCGCGCAATGACATCCAGGACCTGCCAGGAAAGATCGTGAGTGATAGCGAAGATGTGGCAGGAGGGGAAGTGAGGGGAGACGGAGATGAAAATGCTGACCCGCTCAGGTGCTACACCCTTAGTGTATCTTGCGATGTACTCGAAGGAGTAGCTGAGCAGACCATCTCCAGCAAGCACGGCGATGTCGTCACCGAACACCTTCAGCATGTGTGAATTCTCAAAAGACTGATGATGATTCGTCTCTACTTTGTGGTTGGTTGGCTTGCCGCGTCTGAGGTCGTCGTTGTCCATGCACTGGAGCTATGTCAGGCAAGCGGCCTGCAGTCGCAGAAGAAGGCACCGGAAGATCATCGTGGATCAAAGACATCTGGTATGACCAAGTGTCAGGCAGAAGGCAGGCGCCCAACAAGAGTCCACCGTATGGATCATCTCAGCAGCGAGGGCAGTCGGCATCGCCATCTCCTCGGTTCCACCTGATCTAAGCTTGAGCCCAAAACATCCAAGCATAGGCCATCTCACCCATCATTTCACATGCTGCAAGAGTGAGAATGGGACGAATCCTCTTTCCACCTGCCATGAGAGAGTACCGCCTGTCTTTCATCAACGTCTACAGGGTTATACTACACGTGATACATGCTCTCGTGAACAGTCTCGGCTTTCGAGTCGTACGGCCAATCCCGCTTCAAGACATTCATGCTCTCGTCCAAGGCAGCCTCAACCTTGGGAAGCTGAGACTCAAAGTATTGCTTGATGTCTGCAAACATGAGTGAGCATCGGTACCTCTTCTTTTGTCCACCAGCAACGACTCACTGAAAGTGCTCTCAGTTTGTGCCGACATCCGCAACGTCGCGGCCCTCTTGTTGCTCTGTGAGCATCTAGTCACTGAAGCATGGTAGACAGCTGAGAGCAACCTTGAAGAATGCATTTTCTCTGATAGAAATTTGGGGTCGTTGCATGCCAGTATTGACCTGTCACACGACTCACAAGAAAATACCAGTCCTTTGGATTCCCACCTTCCTAGCAAGAAACGGTGTCCCGGATGCAGGCACGTTGAAAGCTGAGGGCGTGTGAGATATGTCGAGAGACGATTGTGAGAGACAAACAATATCTTACCTTGAATTGGCGATGCAGTAAGAGCAGCTCCGGCTGCCACACATAGAAGCAAGGGGGCTGTGACGAAACCAATGTCAATGGACATGGTGGTACTTGCAGCGATCAGCTAGTAGCGAGCTGGGGTGGGGGGGTGGGGGGGGGACGGGCAAATAGATCATCATCGACATTGCATCTGAGTGTGCAGAGGAGAGAACCAGCATAGTTCTCCTTTTCTCACAATTCACTACCAGCACATTTGAGGTCCCTGCACTTTGGGTACAAACATGACAAAGAGATGCACTAGAGATCACAAACATGTATCAGCAACCCGTGTAAACACACTTCTTGACAACATGACAAATTTACAACCACAACAATATATCTGTCTTTGAATTCCCATTCCATCACCCTCCAGAGTTGTCCTTACCGAAGTGCATGGCGGCCGCCGGCCTTGTTAGATGGCTATCCACCCCCGATTATCCCCTAGAAAGCTCGATTTTTACCTGGTGGGGTAGGCTGTAATACATTTGAGTAAACATCCGGGGCTGGCATTCTACTAGTACGGTTCCGAACAACTTGCGGCGAATCATAGTACGGTCCGGCGGGCCGAGTTCCTGACACCCGCCGCCGTCGGACCGTACTTGAACTGAGTTCCGAGTCCGATCACTGCCGGGCCCGAACCCGGGGCCGCCGGCCGCGCAACTCAGACCGTGCACCGTGGAACCAGGGAGGCCAGGCTCCGGCTCAGCTGTTCACTAACCTGATCGGATCCGAGTCGGACCGTTCGTGACAGGCCGGGCAGAGCGGCTGTCTGACGTGTGCCGACGAACTTCGGACTCGGGAACTTGATCGGACGGCGTGACGGCAAGTATCGATCGGATGATGACCGTACTGTGTTGGACTCCGGATCATTGAAAGCTCGAGTCCGTCCGACGGTGGCCGCGCCGTCCGGATCTCCGGCCCGGGCGGGGGCCTCCGTCGCTCAACAATCATTGAAACTTCAAATGCAAGTTGCATTCGGAAACCTCATTGGCGGTCACACGGAACCATGACGGTCCGTCACGTAAGGCGCCTGTAAGCCTCATCTCAAGATCTTTATCACGCGTCAGCAACTTCTTCGACGTGTGGCCTCCGTGTGTCCCTCGTGACCTCCGTGCCTGGCACTTACACGATTCCACCCCCACCCACCCCTTCCTGCAACTTACTACTGCTACACCCTTCACCCACCCCCTCCTCCCCCCCGGCCTCCTTGTCTTTACTACACGGAGCTAGTTTCCGGACGGTCGGACCCTGTGATCCACCCCATATCACCGCAAGTTGATCCTGCCCTGCTCGCCCATCCCACGCCAGACGCAGCATCAGCGACTCGCCCCGCCAGCATGTGCAACATCACCGTCTACTGGTCCGAGGTCTCTCTGTCTGCCGCTCCCCGACAGTGCCGGCCTGCAGACTGCGCTGCTTTGCCTTGCAAGCGACGGGCAGAGCAGTCATCTGCGAGCGTGAGGGGGGTTACAACTGGACTCCTAGACAAGAAGGAGAGCAAGGGGAGCTGCTTGGAGAATATTCTTGCCGCGAGGAGAAAGCACGAGGAGAAGACTGGAGGAGGACCTGGCATGAAGGGGATGAAGGAGGCAGGCATTGTGATCGACGTGTAGGATAATGAACGAGACTTGAACAGACAGGTTGTGTAGATAATGTAAATATAATGAACGACAGGCTTTTTCAATCGCGTTTTCTGTTTGTTTTACACACTCACACACAACGCATATGGATTCTATACTAGTGTTTCAATGAAAATCACTTCCGTTTCGGACACCAATCTTCAATGATTTCGAAGTGCATTCAAAACGTCAATCGACATTTCCAATGCCTTGATGCCACGGCTCAATGTTGGATCTGAGGATGGATGTCTTATTTGAGAAAGTTTTATGAGATTATTTCGTGGTAGTCCCATTGCAGCTATGCTTTAGCAAAGACTCGAAGGGAATGAAATGTCAAAGATACGCACATTCGTCTGCTTTTGCCGTACACACTGCAAACTTTTATCGGTTTTCCTCCATGATATGATCATCATCCGACATCTCTATTCTCAAATGCAGAAGTAGTTTGCTCCCCAAGACATGATCAAATGAAACCCACTTCAATAATTGCCGGTCTCCCGTGTTCTCGCTAACGCTGACCGCTTTTTAACAAAGCCGGAATGATACAACAAGATTAGAGGAATCTTTACTCGAGGGTCATCGAGCAACCACCACAGAATATCGTTCGAAATTGAGATCGTGCATGAGCAACTACCGCAACCTGACCTGAGCTCATCGTAACAGGAAACGTGATTGAAAAAGCCTTTCGTTCATTATATTTACATTATCTACACAACCTGTCTGTTCAAGTCTCGTTCATTATATTTACATTATCTACACAACCTGTCTGTTCAAGTCTCGTTCATTATCCTACACGTCGATCACAATGCCTGCCTCCTTCATCCCCTTCATGCCAGGTCCTCCTCCAGTCTTCTCCTCGTGCTTTCTCCTCGCGGCAAGAATATTCTCCAAGCAGCTCCCCTTGCTCTCCTTCTTGTCTAGGAGTCCAGTTGTAACCCCCCTCACGCTCGCAGATGACTGCTCTGCCCGTCGCTTGCAAGGCAAAGCAGCAGCGCAGTCTGCAGGCCGGCACTGTCGGGGAGCGGCAGACAGAGACTCGGACCTCGGACCAGTAGACGGTGATGTTGCACATGCTGGCGGGGCGAGTCGCTGATGCTGCGTCTGGCGTGGGATGGGCGAGCAGGGCAGGATCAACTTGCGGTGATATGGGGTGGATCACAGGGTCCGGAAACTAGCTCCGTGTGGTAAAGACAAGGAGGCCGGGGGGGAGGAGGGGGTGGGTGAAGGGTGTAGCAGTAGTAAGTTGCAGGAAGGGGTGGGTGGGGGTGGAATCGTGTAAGTGCCAGGCACGGAGGTCACGAGGGACACACGGAGGCCACACGTCGAAGAAGTTGCTGACGCTGATCTTGAAGGCGAGCAACCTTTTTGGATTGCGGCCCATGCTCGGGGATACGAAACGCCGACGGTGTCTTCGAACGGTACTGTTCTAGTTTCAGTCATCACGACCTCATGACAGGTGGGCAGCGCCATTGTGACTCACTCAGGCTGCCAGGAAGCCTACCCGCCGTGACACTCTGTTGCCGCCACCGGACCGGAGCGCCGCGTCACACTGCTGTACTGTACTCAGTTCCGCCGGGCCAGAGTCCGCCGGGCCAGGACCGTGAGGGCCCTGTCACAGCCACTGGCTGGCGGCGCCGGGTGGGCCCGCCGCCGGCACGGCGCGGACCTTCTGAGCCCGGGCCGCGGGCCGCGGCCGGCCCACGTTGATCCGATCGGATCGGATCGGCCCGGCCCGATAATCGGCGGCGCCGGCGCGCGTCACTACGGAGTACCGTGCAGTTGTCAGTCGGATATAAGGAAAACTTCCAGGGGTGGTTCAAACTATTTTCCACAGGGGTGCAGTTGGTTAAGCTCCACAGTACCCTGGTGATAATGTCAAATTCAGGGGGTGGGGTAGTGATTCTTGAAGGTAAAGTGGGTGAAACGATGCGGTCTGCTGTAAAATAGAAAGGGGTAGGGTACTCTGAAGGTAAATTGGGGGTACTAAGTGATTCTCCAGTTGGTCTTCAAGCCTGCTCGTCCTTTTAAGTATTTCATATACTACTTTATCAATCAATAATTTTTTGTATTATAAATAATAACTTTTGGTAGGGTATTGAGAGGTGTTTTTCCTTTGCCTTTGGGAAATATGACGGGGCAAGGGAAAAGCAGATGCTGTAAACCATCGGAGAGTTTGGGAGACACGCGCATGGTGCGAGGCTGGTAGAGAAGCAGGAGCAGGAGCAGCACGAGCAGGAGCAAGAGTGAGAGTGAGAGCAAGCGAAACAGCACCAACAAGACAGAAAAGGAGCCAATCAGCAACAAAGTCCTCAACCAGAACTGGCCGAGGAGAATATCCCACTCAAGATTCGGATCAACAACGAAAAGGATCAGCAGTTTATCGTCAGTGTGAGCAACAGGATCAGTAGAGGCAAAGACGCTGAGAGATAAGCGCACTTTGTCATCGGGAATAACACACAGCGCATCAAAACATCAAGATAGCCGAAAGCTAATATCTTCATCGCTTCGTCCAGATTCGGCATCAGAGTCTACACAAGTCTGATCAGGGAATAAATCCCTCTGAGTGAAGTCAAATACTCCGAGCGCTTGTAGGCACAGTCTCGCTGCATCAGAGCCTCGGTGTATACCAGAAGAGATGTTTCCAGGCGGGATGCGTTCTAGCTTGAACATGATGAGAATGCAATTTCGCATGCATTTTCCTTTTTATCAGCGAAGGTGATTGCTCTGTCTCTTTAGCACACTGAGATAATTACTTTTTTGTTTTCCTCTCCTTAGTTGCTCAACAAAAGCAGCCTTTGCTTCTACAGGAGGATTCAGCTTGCTTGCGATCGCGCAACAGTGAGCAGTCGTCTTGATACCTCCTCTGGCTTTTGAACTTGCTGAAAACAGATATCCTTTCCAATTTCAAGTAGTTGTGAGCACCATCAAGACGAGCATTGCTGATATCATAACTCAGACACAGGCACATGCTTCTTGTGAACGTTTCATGATCTCAAACTTGATTGTAGATTGAAGGCAAAAGCATCACTGAGATCGACACAAAGAGAAATCTTGTGTTTGTGGTGTTCGGGGCAACTTACCTCGGGGGGTTTCAATGGTGGCTGCAAGTACGTCGCACATGTATTGGCGTGACCATTCTGAGACACAAGCAGGTCACCAAGTTTCGCCAGTGGTTCCCTGGCATGGACAGATTTGCTAACGCTACCTTTGCGGAGAAGCTGAAAGACGTGAGAGGGAGGAGGAGAGTTCAGACGAGGAGGTCCTGACCTTCGGCTTCTACAGGTTCCTGGGATGATCAGTGCAGGAAAGCAAGTAGCCTTCGACGTGTTTGTGCACCTTCCCTTCATGTACTTCCCCTGCTTCTACACGGTACTGAGCGATGAAGCAACGAGGACGACGCAGCTCTGACCGAACCTTGATGCAGGTGAAGGAGTTTGTGCAAGGGAAGAGCTGGAATCCCATTGACTGGGCTAAGGACGGATGCACAAAGTGAGCATATGTAGAGAGGGATGGAGCAGGGATGGAGCAGGAGCAAATGCAGGAGGCAAGGGTTGGAGGAGGAACTGGAAGGAACTGGAAGGATGGGGATGGAGATGGGGATGGGAATGGAGAGGTGGCAAGAAGCAGGAAGGGTGATGACAAGCTGCCTCAGGTATTACAACAACTTCAGAAAGGACACTTACGCTATGTTCTGCCTGTGGGCGCCGGCTGATTGTGTTCTGTTTGCGGTACCGATGTGGCTCCGAATGCCGTAAGTTTTGCTCTTTTCTTTGTTCTTTCCACTCTCCTCGCTACATTACACTTCCATCCGCATTCATCTTTCTTCGTACGATGCTGCCCTGTTGCGACTCATTGCACTGACATCGACTTGGCCTGACTCGTATGCTACAGCGGGAGGCATCTGGTGAGCCTTGGGTGGACAGCATACCTATCCTTTCTAAGAGGTGCCAAGATTCCTGAGAAGGCGATAGAGGATAAGAAATAATCATCATGCTGCTGTACTTGATTTATTTGTTTCACTTCCAATGACAATTGCATTAAAAATTCATCTAAGGTGACCTGATTGCGCGAAATTCATTTCATTCGGCTTTCATTTCCTGTGGAGGAGGAGGGATTGCGTGAAACACGTTGGGATTGGATAATTCAGTCGGAAGCGTCAAACTAACGCAGAAGAGGCACGAGAACATCGGGATGTTCATTACCAATGTTTAAGATACATGCGAGTCATCCCCGAGCTTTAGACAACGCTGGCCTTTACGACGGGAACGATGCGTCTCTTCTTGGAAGCCTGCGACGCCTCGGCCGCAGCAGTCTCACTTGGCTCCTCTTTCTCCTGCAGGCAGCATCAGTCGTTGCCTCCCTTTCCCTCACTTCTCACTGTAGCAAACGACGTATCAAGCTTCCGCGATATTGTTTCTGCAACCCCCTGCTCAGCCGTAGGACACTCCTCCTCTGCTTCGGGGTTGCCGGTGTCGTCAGATTTCTCGCAAGCTTGGCTCCTATTCTTCTCTTTGCAGACGGAGAACGCAGATCCTTTTTCTACTCTATCTTCCCTCGCTCCTGGTGTTGCAGGCGCAACTTCTGCGTTGGGTTTCACCAAGGAAGGGATGATCCTTCTCTTCCTGCCGCTCTCAGTTTGTGCCTTCTCAGCTGCCGCTGGTTGCTCTGTGACCGTAACATCTTCAATTTCCAAATGCTCTCTCGCTCCACCATCCTCCTTGCCCTCCTTCTCCTCACTACCCTCCTTGTTGTCCTTGTTCCCCTTGTTCTCCACTTCGGCACTGTTGTCCCCTGAGTTAGCTGGGCACACAATCTCGGGATTTTCTGTTTTCCCAGCTTCCATGTACTGCAGTCACAGGTTGAGAAATCAGAGAGCAAGGGGAAGGGAATGACCTTCTGGACTGTAAGGGGAAGTAGATCGTGATCGAGCGGCTCTCCGAATTCACCTGCACAACCAACTCACGCGCCATGAGGATTGGGTATGGGCCCACCAGGTGCGAACTCGACGATTGAACAATAACCATCGCTGGATGTCACGATCATGAACTTGCCATCACTGGACCATGCGATGTCCGTGAGAGGAGTGAAATGAATTCCACTGACGTAGAGTATCGGAGTTTGCATTTGAGCGGTGTCATAAACCAACATTGAGCTCTGTGTGGCTACCGCAAAGATCATTCTGGAGGGAGAAGATTGAGAGTGAGAAACTGATCGGACAAACGAATGAGACATGAATAATCCTACCTGTAAGGCAAGTTGAAGGGCGAAGCAGACGTGTCAGCGCTCCCTAGCTTTGCTGGAGATTGAAACAACTTCTCTGGTGTAGGCAAAGGTCGATCACCAACTGCAGATGTTTACCATCACAAATACTGACAGTCAAGGATAACTACCCACCTTGTTCTTCGCAGGTCGCTATCTTGAATAGAACCGGACAAAACCTGCTCTCTTGTAAGCAGCCATGCAAACGTCAAACACCATCCTTTACCGGACGGCTATGCTTGGCTGTTTCCCACAAGGCAGGACGGCAAAAGGCTTGGCAAGATTTCTTCGCGCAAATACGTTTGTAGAGTATACTGGCTTCGTAGTTTGACTTTGCTGGTAGAGGCCTCCAGGAATAACGACAAACAACCCATCCGGCGACCATGCAGCTCTCCGTCGATGAGCAGCCACCGTATCATCGATGAAAATCTTATACTCTCTGCCAAATGGAATGAGAGAGTTGTCGCAGAAGCAAGAACTTGAAATTCAGACCGCTGCTTGATCTCTGGTGAAGACGTCTCTAGTTTCGGAAACTCCATTTTAGAAGCAATGTGCACTGTTCTGCAATCCGCCTTCCACCTGTGCGGGTCGTTAACTAACAACGCAGCGCCGATCAGAATGAGCTACTTCTTCGATTTCGACACGTGAAAGCGGCACGAGCTGTCGCTGCTGACGGTTAAGATGAAATCCCCTTGCGGATCCCAGGAGGCTCCAAGGACGAAGTGATCATGTCCTCGAATGCTGCAGGCAACCTACACCACCATGAGCCACACAAGCAGACATACACTGAAGAAGCTTCACCTTGTCCTTCGAGAAGAGGTTGAATACCTGAAGATAAGTCAGGACTGAAACGAAAACACGCAACAAGCTCTAACCGTCCCGGTGTTGTCAACTGAAGCAGAAACGAGTTGAAGAGACGAGGGTGACCATGAGAGATCGCAAACGTCGAGGGTATGAGATCTCAACACGGTCATGAATTCCCATCTGCCGTCAAAGATCAAATCCAAGGCTGGTCCCTTCCTACCGACCTCTCGGAGCCCGGGGTAATGGGGCTGTTGGACGTGGAGCTTCGCTTCCATATGATGATTGCTCCTTCAACACCTGACAAGACGTGAGACGAGAAGTCCATGTTCAAGTAAGCCCATCACCCGAGGACGCAAGCAGGTCTCCTTTGGGGCAAAACCTCAGGCAGTTGACAGGCTTTTCATGACCTTGAAGGTCCTGGATGAATTGTACAGGTGCCTTGCCAAGCAGGGTCAGACTCTCGTGGGGTGCATGTGAATGCTGACCTCCACTGCATTCTCCCCGTCGTTCAGTAGCCATAGGTGGATTCCTCCCGTCCCGTCCGGCTCACTCCCGCCAGTCGCGCACAGCCGTGGAAGGTGAGGGTGAAAGTCGATAGCAAACACAGGGCTCTTGCCATGCCAGTGGATCTGTGGAGTGCGGACTGTGACAGGCTGTTTGGTGCTGGGAGCTAGCGACGTGACAGGCTGTTTGGTGCTGGGAGCTATCGATGGCTGTTCACCTGCTGTAGTAATCGAACCCTCTGCTGTAATTTTCTGCTTGAGCTGGACATCTGAGCAGGGGGTAGTCTCCACCGCACAGCCAGACATTCCCAGACCTTGAAAATGCCGAGTCAGTTACAGAGAACAATATCGACGAATAATGAATATTGTTGAGGTATCGTGTATGAGAAGGAGGATTCATCCAAACATCCGAACAAAGTCGAATTTACACAAGACAGCTGCTCTGGAGATTGCTGATATGCCCTAGCACAACCACCACCATCATAATTGTCATGCTGACAAGCGAAACACGTTACATGTACTCATTGTCTCCACCTATCTCATCAAGCTCTTTCCCCGCTTCTCCATCTCTCCCTTCATTTTCCCGCTTCTCCATCTCTCCCTTCATTTTCCCGCTTCTTCATCTCTCCCTTCATTTTCCCGCTTCGCCCCCTCCACCATCGCCAACTTGCCCTTCCTCAGGAGCGCGGGAAACTTGGACCCTACCCCGATGAAGGACGAGTTCCCCCACCACCCCTCCATACCTCTGTTTTCCTACATTGAGACCACCCGGTGCAATCGAATGGCCTTTAGTCCTGCACCCTACTGGTGCCGGGCCGGGCCGAACCGGGCATTCAATAATGATCATCGGATGGCCGCGCCGGCAGACCGCCGGACTCAGTTCCAAGTTCGATGGGGAGTCACAGGCTGAGCGGGGCCGACCGTACGCCCGGCCAGTCGCCGGTCCTTGCCACAGTGTGGCGAGTCCAAGTCACTTTCAGTGATGCTCCATACGCTATGCCGCACTGAATCTTCCGGGCAACTTTATTTCGACGTGCGCACATCATCGGCCACCCGGTATCGCAGCAGTGCGCCGCGAGCGGCAGGGTGAACTTCGGAAGGCAAGATCGAACCGTGTGTCCGGGCCGCCTAGATGAGATTCCAAGTAGAATGGAGATTCTGCGGCGGATGCATGTAAGGCCTGCCAACGTCTGTCAACCTTGTACGAGTGTACGTCACTCAGGAGAACTCACACTTTCTCCACCACAAGGTGCATCTTCTCCGCAGAGACCGCCAAACCCTCCGAGGGCCAATTCTTGCGCATGATGCTATCAAAGCACTCCTGTCTAGCGAGCTCAATCTCACGGTGACCCGCCGCCTCCAAGTCATCGACACCTTCACTTGGGAAAACTTGCAGTCCGGGGTGTCTCGCCACCTGAGTATCTAAGAGCCAGTCAATGCGCCTGGCGGTTCAATACAGCAACAGATTGCTCACGGTGCTGTGCATAATCGTCGGGAAGTGAGCTAAAGAAACGTCGATGTTCTTGTAGCCCATCTGCGGAAGCTTATTCTCAGCCTGCAAGGGACCCGTCAGCTCAAGAGAGCTTGAAGGCGCTCAACGCATAACCTCTTCCTTCAAAATCCGCCGAATGTTCTCGATCGCCTTGTCCACGTCATCGTACATGAGAACTACCGCCTTCAAACCAGACAAACACGCAAGTCAGTCTAATCGTCATCCAAACACTTTTCTGTTGACAAGAATTCGTAAAATTCGATGGACTCAATGAGTTCAAGCTCGCATACGTCGGGATAGGCTACTGCCTCCTTGCAGCGCAGCTTTATCTTGCCCCTCGGCCATTCCGGATGAGACATCGCATGCTCTATCAGCTGATTCCAACCATTGAGATATTCCTAAGATATCAGTCAGACACTGAACAAACCAGATCTTGCCTTGCCTCCTTAAGTTCCTGACTGCCTAATGGAGGCCGGGTGAAGGAGTAACACGTCAAAAGTGTTGTGTGGAGTGTTGAGAAGGGATAAACATAAGCATCTTTGAACATTGGCTGATAGAGCGAGTTCAGGTCACTAAGTGTAAGGCCGCAACAAGGTAGGTACCTCATTCTTGATGTCATTTGCTAAACTCTCGTATGCGTCCTGCATCGATGGGTCGCATGGGAAATTGGTGATGAGCACGAGGCCCCAACATTCCTCAGATGTGCCATTCTCCAGGCCTTTGATGTATTTATTCGCAACAATATTCTCCTCCCCCATTGCTGTCCGATGGCCTTCAAGAACACTCCTCGTACTGGGCCGCAAGTCAGTCTCAATCTTCACTTCCCACGTTTGAGAACCAATCCCCTTCACATAGAAACTACCTCACGAGAACCATCAGCTGTCAAATATCCTCAATCAGAACGATCTTAATTCATGATACCCTCTGCAAGCAAGTGATCTGTCAAGACTTAAACGCCGCACTTGATCACTTCATCTCCCATCCTCGCCATCTCCCCCTTCCCACCGTCCTCCATCTGAGCGGCCTACGGTTCCGGATTCCCACGACCACCGCCGGGGCACCCAGCTAGCGGTCAACACAGGCTAGAACTTGAAAAAAAAAAGAAAAAAAACAGAACTTGAATAGTATCTGGAATACTACTGAGTATGCCCTCAGTTTAGATCCTCCCCCTCCTTTGTTTGCTCCGGTTTGCCTTTCTTTTTCAGTCAATAAATCAAATAGCCTGAACGGCACACGGCAGGCCGCACCGTGACGGTCAAGCCGGGCCTGCGTGACCGCCGACGGTGTGCCAGTGCCATGCCGGGGACCGGGACCAGGTGCGCCGTGCCGTCAGCCTGGCAGCAGCCTGGGCCAGCCTGAGACCGACGGTCACTGAGCCGCTAGGTACTAGGCTCGGCTGAGCCTGTGACGGCGACTCAGCGGCCGCTGGGGAGCGCCCGTGCATCACTGACTCGCCCGGCGCGGCGCCGAACGGTTCACTCCGCATGGCGGCCGCGCCGACTCGGCGAGGCGGCTGGCCCGGCTCAGTGACGGTGACTCGCAACTCAGTGAAAACCCGGGCATGATTCGAGTCCCTTTTACTTTTAAAAGTTAATTGTTCAATGATTAACCTGCTCAGAAACGATAGCCAATCATAAGTTCAATTGCAGGACTCGGGAATTGTAGCTTGTGATTTGATTCGCTGAGGACCCCACAGCCGCCGCCTAGGACAAGTCAATACCAAAGTTAGAATGCAGGCAAGCTGAAGCTCTCTTTTTGCATGATCAATAAGACAGGAAGGTCTTACTCTTCGAGAATCTTTTCAGCTTTCATCAAAATTTGATTCCATCCATCTGTCATACTTTCAAATCTTAGTATATGCATTCAATCATGATTGGTGTATGTAATAATTCTGTATTCTTTGGACTAAGAGATACCTGTACGCCTTTTCTTCTTGAGCAGCCATGTTTGCGGCCCCAGCCCCTTCCTTATTTGATTCTTGTTGAAGCTCCTTGATTAACAGTTTGATCAACAATCTTATTGAAGCCAAGACTCTTACCTGCAGAGTTTTTGCGATCGTCTTCCTACATATGTTGACGGAGTCATCAAGGTCTATCGTAAGGTTTGACTTGGAGAGCGAGTAATCGAAGGGGTTTTGGCACACTTGTCTCGCACGGTTGCACTCATCCAAGACTTGGCATTTGAAGCTCATAAGAGTTTTGTCCGAACCATGGCGTAGCAAAATCCTTGCTCTATCGTCCTCTAGCTTCTTTGCGGCATTCACACTTTCAAGATGATGTTGAGCTCGGTGATCAGGTTTATGCTCCTTCGTGTCTTCTGCGATTGTGAGAAACCGGGAGGCCGCGTGGTCTAGCTCAGTGTACCAGCTGGGTACCGTTACCGACTTCGACTGAGCGACGTCATCGTCCTCCTTACTCGCATCCGCTCGCCAGACATTTGCCAGGGGACACTTGCATCTGCCATTGCAAACAGATGAAAGAAGGAGGGAAACAGGGAAACAAGTAAAGAAGAACGAGGACAAGAGGGAAAGAGGAAGGAGGAAAGGAAAACGTCATGCAATCTGTGCATTTTAGTTTCAATCTGTAGGTTTTACCTTGGACAGTACTCCCACTTGATCTTAACATAGATCTCTTGCTCGCATCCTGGGCATCGAAACCAACCTGTGGGAATGTGTCGATTGACCGGGCTGCTGGTCATCTAACAATTCCTTCAATATCGTGCAGCTCACAAGTTAGCATTGTACAAACTCATATTCCTTGTCAGAGATCAGTGATTGTGCTTCCAGGCCAACTTGAGAACATACAAAGGAGGAGGACTATCGTTTCACGTTGTCTCTTTCTTCATTGCTGCTGCCAATAGCAATCAAGGTCATTTTGTGCAGGAACTTTTCGTGAGATGTAGGAACTACGGAGGCCGGGCCGGGCGGCCGCCCCGGCCGGCTCCGCAGTGGCGTGTGACGGCGTCCGAGGTGATTAGTGACGGCGTCGTGCGTCAGTGCACGGCACGGTACTGGGCCGCCGGAGTCGTGCTCACTCTGAAAGTCCGAAGTCAATGACGCGGATCACAGTGTAACACTGACACTGCACCGTCAGTCTTTACAGAGTCAAAGGCCGTCAAGTTAAAAATTGACTTTGACTAAGTTCGCCGGCCCGGAACTTCGGAAAGGGCGGTCTTCCGCAAGCTCAGTGAGCACTCAGTGATCGGACCGCCGGTACCGTGACGGTGCGTGCCAGCAATGACGCCGGCTCCGAAGTACGGTGACTGATCGGACTCAGCCTGGCCCGGCGCCGGGCGCGGCCCGGGCCGCTCAGTCCTGAGGCTGACCGCTCGGCCCACCCACCGGTACAACGGCGCAGGCTTTTGAGTAATTCATTTGGTTTCAAGCTTACTAAGTTAGGTGCCAGTCTTGGGAGGTTGTTTGGAGATCTGACGAATCGCGCCCCACCTGCTTCCCAGCAGCTCCTCGCTCTTAAAATCTGTAACGAGAGGGTCCATCACAGGGGAATCATTCAGAAAGCTTTAAATCACGTTCAAGCCTGCTCAGAGTTCTTCGAGATTCCCTCCAGAATTCAGCATCTTCTGCAATATATTTCAGCAATGACAATCTTGTCAAGCGATAGAAATGAAATTTCAAATTTTTCTGAAACTTGAAACCTTCCTCTGACGGCTTGCAAGAATAGCCTGGGATGAAGATAGACAAACCATATTTCATCATATTGGGGTCGCTTATAGCTGGCGTGTTTGATTCTAACTTGTCGTCTCTTGCACGCATGTACCTGACTTTGATTCTTACAATCGCATGCATTCGAGCGATCAAATGCGATGAGGCAGGCCTCACCTTTCAAGATGATAGAGAGCAGAAAGACTGAAGCTTTCGATCTATCTTTTGTCAGGCCCAACACGCGAGGAGGACAGCAAGGCTCTCCGCATCTCTTGGGGCTCACCTTGCTCGGTGACGGGAAGTTTGCAGACTCTCTCCTTGCAGAACTGCTCTTTTCTGAATCCATGTCCTCTCCGATGTCAAGCTTTCTGTTCACAACACCATGCTCATCAGCTCACCAACGGCAAGATGAATCGGCCTCACTCGATAGAATGGCGCGATTCTGATGAACATGTTTCACTTACTGCTTCCGACATGAAGGTATGGTTCGACTGAGGAACTGATGTACACCGTCTGGTTTATGCGTCAGGATCATAAAGTACTAGAGCGAATACATGTCATATCCGGGAGCTACTCAATTTTAAGTTGCTTTGTCTCACTGCTGCTGTCTACTGTCCTTGCTCTAAAGTGAATCAACATTTTGCTGGTTATCACTCTTCATTCAAACCGTTTCTAGCACTACAGTGACACGCCAAGTTTCTCTTTTGTCTGAACTGAAGTATCCCCATTTTGTGACGATTTTCAACTTCCGACTTCCCGGCGGCATTCACTGTGGCAGGCGGCATGAAATCGTCTGTGTGGAGCTCATTCATCATGCAGGCTTCCCGGCTCAGTCAGGGTGGCGCCTCAGTCACTGTCACGTGTACCACTGAGGAGTCACTCGGACCGTACGGGCCACGCCAGTGTCTCCCTTCCTCTCCCCACGGCCCTGGCATGAAGCGACGCCCCAACGAGCCGTCGGTCTCACAGGCTCAGACGGTTCCGGCAAGTTTAGGGCCGCTTCGAATGCTGTCTTAGTCTATTGACTATGTAGCCTTATTGTAAACATCTTCCTTGTCAATGAGTACCCCTTTTGATCATAGCATAAGTACGGGTACTGCATATACCCATCTTTTGTTGGGAAAGAGAACCGGTGTGAGAGGAGATCTCAGGTGCACCTCAGCATAAAATTAAGGACAGCAAATTGTAAATATATGAAGAGTTCGGACATCTGCTTTCTGTCCTGGTTGGCGAAAGGACCGGAGGAGACCGACGAAGAGCCGCGCAAGGTATGCAGGAGGAAGAAGCGAAGGAAGGGGAGAATGCGAGGGCAGTTCAAACCTTTAAAAGACTTCCTTGAGGAACAGGAATGTTTTGAACATCATGATGTCTCTTAATTACATTTGATGCGTGTTGTTTGTATTATTTTGCTCTGCTTCTGATCTATAGATGCTCCATTTGATTTTTACCCTTGACGACTGTGCCGTTATAACACGCTTTAAGGATCAGTTGATGAGCTTGACTTTATACGAAATTCCATTGGGCAATCTCACATAGATTCACAAAGACGTGTTTTGTTCCTTCATTTTATTTTCAGCTCCTGTTTGATTTTGTACATCCAACCGTGTTGACAAAGCTGCTCGGCACCGTCATGCCTCAGTGGTTCATTTCCTGTTTTGTGAATGTCGACAAGATCCAACCCAGTGGGGTTCTCTCAATGATTTAGCTGTAACAACAGTGAGTGTCTCAGGGAATCGTCTTCGTACCTGGAACTCGAGCTGTTCTGATTTCATTTTGCTTCAGCATGATCGGCGGAAAGCAGCTTTTGCAGATGTTGAACTACGAGGCGGGAGTGGACCCCACTCAGACTACCGAGCCATTCTTCGCTGGAATGCACACTGTAAACTTCAAAATGATATCTTGGACCTCTCCTAACACGCGCATGGGCCAGTCCTCCAACCCCGCTGCCTCCCCCCACGTCTTGGGCGCTGGATTTGTTCGCGGACATCCCACCTTCAGCTCGCTTGTGTTGTGAGTCACACTGTCGACTTGTTATCCTTGTTCTCCCTCCTCATGTTGCTGCCTTCAGGCCCCAGAACATCGTCTACCATCCCACCAACCACCCCAAGGACAACTGGTCAGTCACTCTTGTCTGTGAAAGCGCATTGTGACGTTGTGGTCAGGTGGATGCCCGAGCAGTTCTAAGAATGAAGGGAAGGATTTACAGGGATCAACATCGTTGCGCTGAATATATGACAAAATGTTGTTATGCTGCTCGAGCCATCTACGGAATTCTTTCTTTGCTTGTTCAGCCGCATCAAATGGCGCCGACGTTCCTCGGCTGCGCCTGCACCTCACCCGACTTTCAGGCACCAACTAGCGTCATTAGCGTCCTGACATGCGAGCATGTAGAGCCATCTATGACGCCCAGACTGGAGCCTCGCACTTCCTCCGCTAACATAACAAGTCACTTATGGTTGTCGTGCGGTCCCTCGTGACATGCGCCGTCTCATCAGCGTGACGCAAGCATGTCTGACTTGTTCTTCGACCGAGCCACCTTAAGACACATCCCTCTCTGTTGTCTTCTCTCTCGTCCGCTCCTGTCATCTCTATGATCCCTTCCTGCCGTTTCGCCATCCCGCTAGCAGCCTCCAGCCATCGTGGTCCTACTATCCTACCATTAGTCTTGGTTGAGAAGTCTTTTAGCCTCCTTTCCCCGACAGCCTCATCGCCGCAAAGCCGCCCCTCTCGCAGCGCCCGCTGCCTCCTTCTCCTCTCTCCTCTCCACTGATACATACTCGACGACTAGCAAGACGCAGCTGGTCAGGGAAGAGAAGGATGCTCGCCGGCTCCCTGATGACCGTGTTGATATCCCTGACAACAGCAGCTGCTGCATGTATGGATGGCGATAGCGAGACCTGTCACACAAAGTATGGGACTCGTTTCGGCCATGATCTGTTACCAAGGTAGGAGGAGGAGGAGGAGGAAGGGAGGGAGGGAAGGAGGGAGGGAAGGAGGGAGGGAGGAAAGATTATTGACAAGCTCCACCAGCTTCATGCTTGCGGAGGGCTACTTCAACCTCAACCACGGTTCTTTCGGGGCGACACCTCGTCCTGTAATGGAGGCTCAAAGAAGATATCAAGAGCAGATGGAAGCACGGTGAGAAAGAGAGCCACGAGGCATCTTCTCACATGCAGTTTGACAAGGCCCGATCAATGGTTCCGTGACGATTACTTCATGTGCGTCAACGAGGCGAGGGAGGCGATCGCCAAGTACGTCAAGGCCCCGTCCACTGACGATATCGTGCGTCGCATGCTCTGCCAGGAGTGCACAGCAGCTGAAGCTCCTCAGGTCCTCGTTGAGAACGCGTCGGGAGGGGTTAATGCGGTCCTGCGGTCGATGGTGTGGAAGGAGGGAGACGTCGTGCTGTTCCTGTCCTCGGCCTACCCGATGGTGAAGAACACAGCAGTAGGCGCCTCCTCCTTCAGTGGCATGCAGTCAATCCTTGTGCTCAGGCATGGCTGGGAGAGTCGAACCCGTCTGTCCAAGTCAAGGAGGTCCAGCTGGGGAGCGACTGGCCTGCTACAGGAGGACAGGCAGTTCTGAAACCGTGATCGACACAGAGGTTCTCTCCTGTTTGCTGATGCTCGAGACAGACTGAGGGAGGCGCTGGCTGAGAACAAAGGCAAGACGAAGCTCGTCATCGTCTCTCACATCACTAGCGTGGGGGGCACGTGGGTCTCTCCAGTGACTGACGCCAGGCTGCAGGTCCCAGCCGTCATCCTCCCTGTCGAGGACATCGTGAGGATGTGCAGACTGTCGGGTGTGGCTGGAGGAGACGTGCAGGAAGCTTCTCGTGCCGCCGTGGAGCTCGGAGGGGCTGATGGTGATGCAGGTGCTGGTAGATGGCGCGCATGCCCTGGGGCAGGTGCACGAGACCCGCTGCTCTCATCTTGTCACGTCTGCTGCAGGTCCCGATCGACCTTGTCGGGCTGGGAGACCCTGACTACTACATCTCCAACGGACACAAATGGCTCTTCTCACCCAAGGGATCGGTAAGCGATGGGATGATGCTACGCCGAGGAGATCTGAAGGACAGGCGGGACGAGGCAGGCCTTCTTGTACGTCCGATCAGTCCGGCAGTTGAGCCTCTCCCCGGTGACGAGACGCCCTTGGCTCCCTCTCTGCTGTAGGTGTGACGTCAAGTCATCAGGAGCCCAACGTGATCAGCTCGTCGGGCAAGAAGGACTTCGTGGGAAGGTTCTCTTACACAGGTAGAGAGGTAGAGGACAGCTGGGCTGAGCTGACTGAGGTGGGGTCAGGATCGAGAGACTACACAGCATTCTGTGCCATCAAAGAAGCTTTCAAGTAATACAACATTCTCGGTCGGAACAAGCTCAAGTTTCCTTCCCTTGCTCAGGTTCCGCCATCACGTCGGGGATGAGAAAATCTATGAGTACACGGCTGGACTTGCGCGATGGGCAGCAAAAATGCTGAGCAGGACGTGGGGTAACGATGAGACAAGCTTCACCCCGGTCGCCATGACACTGAGACAGGAACTCGCGTGCTTGTGCCGCTGGAGTCTCAGGCTTTCATGATCAACGTCCAGCTCCCGACCAACGTGAGGAGCCTCGTTCACCTCTGCGATATGACGACACAGCAGAGCACAACGGTTGCGATGCAGCTGCAGGAGAGGCTCAAGATTGACTATGATACATATATCGTACAACACTCGCTGCTATGGCTCCCTTGACGGGTCTGCAGGTCGTGGCGAATATGAGCAGTCTCGTGTATACTCGGCTTTCAGCTCAGGTGCTCCACCTCCCTTGCAGTCCTTGCCTGACTTTGACTCCGTTGAGATTTACCTGGAGCGAAAAGATTTCGAGCGACTGGCAACTCTCGTCCCTGCCATCATCGAGAAACTTGATTGCAGTCAGCTGCAATGAATCCCCAGCGATGCCCCACCTGAAACCCGGCTGAAGCTCGAGCACCACGAACATCTCCCCGCCTCCACCTGTTGAGTCGTCAGTCTCCTTGTGCTCCTCATTCTCAGGAGGTCATCTTACCGTCCCCTGGTCGCACACAAGACATCGCTGCTTGTGCTCCTTGCGCTTCACGTACTTTGCAGACGAGGAGAGAGAGCTCAGCGGTGTCTTGCCGAGCGTCAGGTTCAGAGGAGGACGCTAAGTTATCTACCTGCAGAGCGTCGGCAAGCCTGCTCAGGACCTCGTCTACCGACGGGAACCTCCTTTCCTTGAGCTTTGAGAACAGACACACTGGCGATCCTTCCTGCATGCTCCCCACCCTCAGCCTCCTCCTCAGACACTTGGCACCGCTCCCCGTACCTGCGGTAAGAAGGCCCAGACCTCCATCGAGCCGAAACGCGGGTATCTGATGTAGGTCAGGCAGAGGGTTCGCGGTTGAGTGGTAGAGACTTGTTCACACTCGACATCTCCATCGCAAGCTCGTCGCTCAGCATCCACTGCCTCCCTCCTCGACGAGCCGCCAGGTAGACTGCAACATTACTCAACGACAGAAGTCCTCTACACGAGCCTGGTCACCTAGATAGCCTTTCCCTGGGTTGAGCTCCACGAAGGGACGAGGGTCCATTGTGATCTTTTCCATGTCGAACATGATGCTCAGGGCGAGGTTGTAGTACCTGATCAGCACGTGTCAACCTTTCTTCTGCTCCCTTCGCCTCACGCGGCTGTTCACTTGTGTCTGCTCCCTCGCAAGGACGTAGCGTCCATAGCTCGGTAGGCGGTGCAGTGCTCGATGAAGACCGACAGTCTGCCCATGTTCAGCCCAGGAACTCCAGGGTTGTCGCCAAGTTGAGGCTGCTCGCCTGCAAAGCTTGAGGAGGATGGGGAAGGGAGGGCGACTTGACCTTGAGATGGCTCGTACTGAATGCGATCAGCAAGCTCGATGCGCTGAGATTCATCCAGCTGAGAGCTGGTTGAGGAGATTTTGACTTGCATGATAGGAGACAGAGACTTTCTGTTGATCTCTTTCCACGAGGTCACAACTTCATCACCTGGCCCACGTCTATCACTCACTAGTCAAGAAGGTTGAACTCACCTGAAGGCTGCTTGGGGTTGGAAGAGAGAAGCTTTCCATACCGGGAGCCATGGCCCGACGGTATATCTCTAGTCCCTTCCATGTCAAACTTCTTCTCTGAGACTGCTGTTGGCCTGGTTCTGTCAAGTCTTCTCACCATCTTCTTTGAAAGCTGTTCCCTCTTGCGTCGGGGTCGCACAACATCTCGCGATTCTTTGTGCTTGCTGTCAGGTGCTGGGGTTTTACTTTCAACAGGCTCACGATTGCCTGGAGTCTCCGCTGCTGCTCGGGTCATAGACTTGCTCTTCTTGTTTTGTTTGCGCGGGGGTCGCTCAGATACAGTCTCGCTTCCCGCCTTCTGGTCGTTTCATTCTCAGCTACAGGCAGAGAACCAGCAGCAGCTCACCTCATGCGCCTTCTTGAAGGGTTTGCGACTCAACCCTGTGAAGCCATACCTGGCAGCGAGCGTGTCAACCAGGTGATCGGGTCTCCAGCAGGTTCTTACGCCATCTTGGTGTAGAGGTTGGCTGAAGAAGGGAGTGTTCGGTTGAAGAGCTTGTGAACGGAGTCTTGACTGTATCTGTCTTGTGATCGCTTCATCTGTTCCATAGCTTCCCCATCTATCCTGTAGCTTCTGAAAGCATGCCTTCCCTTGGCGATCATGAAACATATGTCTGGATACAGTTTTTCCTTTCTCAAAAGAGTATCCACCTCGTGTGCATATCCATCAGTCGCTGAAGGACCTTCTTCCATGCTTCCTCGCTCCTTGGCTTGGTACCTCAGAGCACGGTTGGCCTCCTCATCTGCTGTAACTGGGTCTCCCTCGCATGCTGCAAGCTTTGCATGGGGCAGAGTGTCGGCAGGTAGAGACATGGATCAATGAAGCAGCGACTCTTCTCGCCCTACATTTATCTCCCTTTCAACTAGTCACCAAGAGCACATCTTCGTTTCTTCGTTTCTTTTCATCCTTGCAACTCCCTGGTCGCCTCCTCCATGTCTCCTGCCTTGCCAGCCGTTGGGCACCCTGTTGGGTGCTGTTGGGCACCTGGTTGGGCACTACCCTGATCCAATACGGTCACCCATCATCCGGTTCTGAATCCCACAGAAGTCAGTAACGGTCCAGGCTCGGAGCCGTTATGTTGCAGCAGGACTATTATAACCGCTACGTCCGGAGGTGTCAGCATGCTTGCAGGGCCTCGCCAGGTCACGAGGTTTCGCGGAGGCAGATGCGGAAAAGATGTGTTTTCGTTTGCCCTCCTTGAATTCAGATTCAAATAGATGTTTTATCATAACGATTCAGATAAAAGCGTCATCTGACTGGTAGTAACCCATTTTGACATGTTGCGTAATCATTATTAGATCTGTCCAAGATAGCGTAAAATTGTAATATACATCTCATTTTAATGTTTAGAATGGTTTATAAACACTCTCAAGGCTCGAGGTGGCTGGGGCAGCTCATGGTGATAGCGCTAAGCATGCGGCTGGAGTCAGCGAGGAAGGAAGGAGCAAGATAGTGAGGAAGAGGTTGGTAACAACCAGCATCGGTTCACTACGTGCACTCACTACCAGGAAATGACAATGAGTACATGTTCATGTTTCATGATCCCACATAGAGAGTATACACGATGACAGCTATTGGGACCTATTTTTGAAGAAACAAATCGCGTGTTGCGCTCGTGTGTGACAGGAAAACTCCATGCTCCTAGATTTTTTTTCATCGAGTTTCTGTTCTTCACAGCAGTAGTAGCTTTCAGTTTTTGTGGGAAAAAAATTGTAAATGTTTTCTTATGAGTGGAGAAACAAACTTCTTGATGTGAGTGAGGGGAAACAAACTTCTTGATGTGAGTGAGGGGAAACAAACTTCTTGATGTTAGTGAGGGGAAACAGACTGCTGGCGCTCCTCGTGTGCAACTCTCAAATCAGTGGCAGGAAACATGAGGAGAAGTGCATCGGATGCACTGCTTCTTCAACAGAGCAAATACGTTAGCGAGTATGGTGAGGGCGGTGAGACTAAAACCCCCAATGCTGACTACGGAGACCTCTCGAGCTACAAACTAGCGCAACATCTGGTAGGCGCCGTTAATGTTCTACTGTTTGATCATGGTTTACGCCCTTGTCATCAGGTGCAAAAGGAAATCTGGAATAGAAAGTATCTACAAAAGTCAGTGAAAAAGATGTTTTGAGAACTGCGTGATTGATGTCTTTGTCAGGTTTGAAAAATTCGAGAACTTGTCGCAATCAGCATTATCGAGAATAGAAGGCCACTTTCAGTACCTAGCAACCCCTGCAAATTCATGGATCATAAGGCAAGATCAGCGATGTAACAGGTGGGAGTGTGAATGGACAATCATTCGCTATGTTTGTAAAGCTGGTATTGCAGGCTCTACTTTGTGGTTTTGGGAGTTTTGGATGTGTACAGAGATGATGAGAAGATCGGTAATGAGCATCAACGATCAAAATGCTTGACGTGATTGATTTACGCACTTGTGTGCAGGCTCCATCTCAAAAGGCTGCCACTTTGGAACAGAGTCATTGAATTTTGTGGTCAGAAACTATTCAAGGGGGCTGGAGTACCCCAGCAATATCCAAGCAACTATCAGCGTCAAGGCAGTTCAGCCAAGCACGTGCTTGTTCCTCGACTGTCAGGATCTCTGGAACGATGTTTCAATCCTCCGAGAAATAATCACAGCAGACATGGAGGCGTCAGAAGACCTGGACCCATCTTCAGGCACCAGCGACGACGAGGAGAAGATAAACATTCAAAATGATTATGAACATCAGTTGAAAGACTTCGAAGTCTTTGCAGGTCATGAGTGACTTCCGGTGCTATCTGTCGATGAGTCTAGTTCAGGTGTAGGCAGGGAGCACAAGGCAAGAAGCATACAGGACCTTGTGAGTCAACGGGACGAGCTGTTGCGTAAGTTTGAAGCTTTCATCGCTTCTGCTCCTCGTGACGTTCCTTGTAGGTAAACTTGAAGCGGCTAAGCTGCTGGCAAAGAAGCAAGAGCTGGAAGCTCAGGTCTGAGGACGTGGAGGTGATGAAGGAATGACAGGAGCGACAGGTGAAGAAGCTTCAAGGCCGACTAGCTCAACCCTCCGACAATGCCGGTGGAGCCGAGATGGTAGGCAGCGATACTGGAGAAGTCAACTGACAGGTTACAGCAGCAGCAGCAGCAGCAGCAATCTCTCCTCAAACGATCTAACAGCGACGAGATTTTGCGATTGAGAGACAGGAGCGAGCTCGAAGGAAATCTCTCGAGGATATCCTCAGGTGTCTTGTGCTTGCTCCGGTCGGTCTGCCATGTCGCTGACAGCTGCTCTAGAGTCAAACCTGATGCAAGAGCGAGCAAAGCTGGAGGCTCAGCTCAACATGCTGCTCCGCAGCTCCAGCTCAGCATCATCTCGACCCAACTCGTCCAACTTCTCCCGCGCTCCTTCAGGCAACAAGTCTATCAGCCCCAAGCGCAACCCGTCGGAGGGGGAGCTGTGGAGACTGGAGGAGGGAGAGCTTTCGCCGCTAGAGTATCAGGAGACATTCAACGAATCTCCCAAGCATGGCGGGCAGGAGCAGAAGGATGTTGGAAGCATCAACTTCAATGTGCAGAGCAAGCTACATCCCATCCTCAACGGCGTCATCCCCTTCCCCTCCAAGGTCCTCCAGCCGACCTCATTCTCCTCCTTACCTGCATGCAGAGCCTCTATGAGCCTCCTCCGCACATGAAGAAGTGGGGTTACGTGTGGGAGACCTCCCACTACTTCGAGCATGCGGTGAGGGCAAGCCTTCTCCTTCTCTTGCTCTCCTCCTCCGTCTCTTTCTCCTCTTTCTCCTCCTCCTCCTCTTGCTCTTCCCTTAGTCCTCTTTGATTCCCGTAGGCGTACAAGAGGAATCAGCCGAGAAGAGGAGTGCCGGTTGACACCAGCGGGGACGGGCGAGTGGACTCGCTCGCCGTTGACTTCACAGGGGACGGCAAGATCGACACCATCGTCACAGACGAGCACTCCGGGAAGGTGAGCCCGATTACTTCTGCTGGAGATCGGAGGGGAGGGAAAACTTAAGAGGAAGAGGAGGAGGAGGAGGAGAGGAGGAAGAGACGGAGGAGGGAGGGAGGGAGGGAGGGAGGGAGGGAGGGAGGGAGGGAGGAGGGA